TCCAATTACATTTTACTGTTTCAGTTAACACACTCAGTTTACTGGGCTGCAATAACTACAATACTACCACCATAATACTACAGTAAAACTTATTTCATGTTACAGTAACATCTGAGTTACATTAAAGAACTACTATGCTAATATTTGCAGGGTACCAACACAGCGCTAAACTACTAATGTAACATTGCAGTAATACTATTGTCTACAAGCACTAAAGTTATAAATAAGCATTGATACTACAGCTACAATACTACAATACCATTACGTAATGATACAACTTTGTTAACCATAAGAGAAGATTACTGAATGGTTTGGTTTTGTACTTATTTTTGTGTTTTTTTTTCTTCCATGCACTCCTGACAGAGGAATGAACCGCTGTATACAAAAGGCCATTTATGCAGAAATAATAACAATATCATGATATATCAGGAAACTGCCTTAACATTAAGTAACAACATCATATCAAAATATAAATACATACCTCACAGTAACTGCACTTGTAGAGTCTCTTTCTGGTGTGGATCTGTTGGTGTCCTCTCAGGTGATGTGGAGCTTTAAAAGTCTTCTCACACAGGTCACATTTATAAGGTCTCTCCTCAGTGTGGGTAAACATGTGTTGTTGTAACTGTGGACCTGTTGTAAACTGTTTGCCACACTGTCGAGCCGATTCATGCTTTTGGTATTGCCTGCATCAGTATTTCTTCTCTCTTCATTATCAGCTATTTGAGTTTGCATCACTGCAGTATTAGATAAAACCCTCAACAAGCAGACGACCCCCGACAATATTCCCAAACTGCACTGATAGAAACTTGAAAAGACTTAAACAACAAAACCAGAGAAGCTGGAATTGAGCTAGCAGCTGAAATTATTTTGTCTCTCGACTCATCAGAACAGGAACTTTCACAGATGGAAAACCTGCTTTAGATTTGTGTTTTGAAGTCATCTGACGAACACACACTAATCTGCACTACACAATGCCTTTGAATGGGTGTTTTCATGTATCAGACTCTTGTTCACACTCTAGATTTATGACACAGTACAGAA